TGGGCTGCTGTGCCCATTAGTCTCGTACACGATTGAACTATGAAACATATCCCTCATGTACATTATTGTTGGCCCTGTAGACCTATATAATCTTTGGTTGAAGGGTGAACCTCAGATGTGACTTCAGTACTGAGTTAAAAGGGTGTCCGGGAGCCATAACTCTGAGGGTTTCTCCAGTCTCTGTCAGACCAACAAACCTGGTCTTGTGTATGTGAATTTGAATTTTGTTCTACATTTTTCTCCCACTCTGTGATCCCTGCCAGAGCAGTCGGTGGTGGTAACTGGGCACAATATATATAGTTGTTCTCGGCTCAGACTGGTGGAGGTTGTGGTCCATTAGTCCTTTGGACTAATCTTTCCCTTGTCTCTTTGGTCTTCTTCATTCTCCTTTGCTCCAGTCAGGATGGGACCAGTAGATTATCTTAGATGGCCACTTGCAGGCTTTAAGACCCCAGACACTACTGCAGGCAGATGTAGAACATTTTTTTTATAGACTATGTTATGCCAATTAAGCTAGATGTCCCCCGAGACCATGGTCCCCAGCCCTCAGCCGAGTGGCTTGGTCCCTCAGGGTGTCTGGATGTGTCTGTGACGCTTCTGTGACTTTGCCCTGGTCAAGTTGTGCTGACTTCCCCAGTATTGTGTACTGTCTTACCCTTCACCCAAGTTACCACTTATCTACTATCTAGTTAGTGTTTTTCCACCCCCACACCCCTCGCTTGTAACCATCAAAGATTGTTTCTTTTTGTGTAGTATTTCCTGTACCAATTCTGGTCTAAAAATATAATGAATTAAATCAGCTATTTATAAGAATTATCCAAGAGATGGGTTAGCAGGTGTATGGTTAAGTCTATCACAATCAACGTATAGAACAAAAATGCCTTTTTAATCATTATTCTAGAATAATATGCTCCAGAAAAAGGACAAGACATGTTCAGTGTTGATGGGGACTGTGGTGAATAATGTAAAATTATAAAGTGACAGGAAAAAGCAATGAAAATAGTGAAGGCCGCCAAAACTGTTTATTGAAATAGACTTGCAGTAATTTGGGGGTTATCTTTGAGGGTTACCCTGAATATTCAAAAGAGTCTAAATATATTTACCATTATTTATAAAGTACAATGTTGGGAAAAAGAAGTAACCTTATAGATAAGGGACTATATTTCTAGCCAAAAAATAAGATTTACAATTAGTCAAGAGATTTTTTTTGTATGGTTTGTAGATGCAACAGGCAATCTAGGAGATGTAATTTGGATGCTAAAATACTAGGATTCCTGTAATATTTCCTTGAATCAATGGATAACAGTACATACTATTTTAAGTAAACTTGTGCTAAAAAATCTAAAATGTACGGTAATACATTCTTTCTATTAAATTGTCACATACTGTTGATGACAGTATAAATCGGTACCTCTGCCTGAGTAGTTTAGCAACAGGTACTTACCCATTCATTCACCAATTACTGATTAAGTTGCATACTGTACACCAGACACTATTCTAGGTCCTGGAGATGTAACAGTGAACCAAACAGATAAAATGCCCTGACCTCACAGAGCTTAGTAACAGAGCTAATTATAACCATTGACTCAGCAATTCCACCTCTAGAAATTAATCCTAAAGAAATAATCATGAATGTACAAAATGATTTCGCTACAAGGATGTTTATTATGTTGAATTTTTAATAGTGAGAAACTTAAAGTAGCCTAAATGTCCAGTTAACATGGTACATCTATACCAAACAATACCAGGGAATCATTAAAATGATGTTGTAAAAGGAATAATATTCACAATATTATTAAGTTAAAAAGCAGGCAACAACTGCTAAGAGGCATGAGGGAACTTTATGGTTGCTCTAAAGCTTGATCATGGTAGTGGTTGCACAGATATATATTTTTATGAAAGCTCATCAAATGGTACACTTAAAATGGATGAGTTTATTTATATATAAATTATACCTTGATAGAACTTTTTTAAAAACAGGATACAAATCAGTTTATGTTAAACCATTTTAATTTAAAAGTTACTTACATAAATAAATTAGAAAAAAAGCCTGGAAGGATATAAACTAAAATGTTAATGGGTTAAATGAATGCTGGGAATGCGGTATTTTCTTTTTTCTTTCGTCGTCTCTATATCTTCTTAATATTCTACAATAAACATAGAAAGACTCAAAAGCTGTTTTAAAACCAAAGCTGTTAAACCAACTTCTACGATTTCTATAGTGGCTATAGAGTCTGTCCTATGAAACCTTTGTTGTTAGGTGCCGTTGAGTTGATTTTTGACTCATAGTGACCCTGTATGACAGAGTAGAACTGCCCCATAGCGTTTCCTAGGCTGTAATCTTTTCAGAAGCAGATGGCCAGGTCTTTCTCCCACAGAGCGCTGAGTGGGTTCAGCAGAGTGCTTAACCGGTGCGCCACCAGGGCTCTTTTGTGAAACCTTAAAGAGAGCAAATTAAGACTCCAGGATATTTCCCCAGTCCTTCAGTTCCGGAGCACACACACAGTCCAGAATTTCCACTGATCAGAACTGAATAAAAAGCATGAAGCAATTAGCAGCCTCGGCTGCTAGTAAGGTCAGCGGTTCAAACCCACCAGCTGCTCTGCAGGAGAAAGATGTACAAGTCCGCTTCTGTAAAGATGACAGCCTTGGAAACCCTATGGGGCAGTTCTGTTCTGTCCTATAGGGTCACTATGAGTTGGAATTGACTCTATGGCAACGGGTTTGGCTTTGGTTTTGGTCCTTAGCTAACACAGAAGGAAAGAATCGAATGAGAGTTAACCTTTGCATCCTTTGAACTGATGCCACCCAGTGAGCTAGATTTCTCACCACTCACCAGCAGAGGGACTCTTCTTGTTGTTAGGTGGCCTCCGGTCTGTTCCCACTCATAGCGACCCAACGCACAATAGAACGAAACACTGCCAGGTCCTGCACCATCCTCACAATCGTTGCTATGTTTGAGCCCATTTTTGCAACTACTGTGTCAATCCATTTCATTGCGGATCTTCCTGTTTTTCACTGACCCTCTATTTTACCAAGCATGATGTCTTTCTCCAAGGACTGGTCCCTCCTGATAGCGTGTCTGAAGTATGTAAGACGAAGTCTCACCATCCTCACTTCTAAGGAGTATTCTGGCTGTACTTCTTTTAAGACAGATTTGGTCATTCTTCTGGCAGTCCATGGTATATTCAGTATTCTTTGTCAACACTATAACTCGAAGGCATCAATTTTAGGTGCTTCAAAAGATAGATAAAAATGAGTTGTACAGGCCAACTAAAGATAATTGTATAAAATTAAGTTTAGGATACTTTATCACATTTCACGAAAAGGGTCCAAGTTGTCATTTTAAATTGCAAATAATTGTTAGAACTAATATAGTAAGTTTTCAGGTAAAGACAGTGAGCTATCTACAAGAAAATACGCAGTGGGACTGTTGACTGAAAGCACTAACAGCTTTTGGTGTGGAGAGAGGAAATGTCCACTGCTGAGAAAACAAGTTGATAAGAATAAATACAAATCAACCACCATATCTGCAAACAGCTGACCCTGAGAAAAGACTGAAGACCTCGTACTTGTTTCTTTGGAAAGGAGCTTTTGTTCAAGATATTTCAAAAGACCTTGAGAATGGCAAAAGCATGTTATCTTTAAATAAAGTACAAGTTCTTTACTACCTTATCTTTTTGATTCACTTGTACTGTTCTTCTTGATTAGAAAAGGCCTAGGGCTCTTTCCCATTAGTTTTGATGGGAAAAATATACTCTATTGCTCTCCTTTAGTTTTGCCTCTGGAAAGAATCTGCAATGGAATGAACGATCACTGTGGACCAATGTGCTATGTGGAGCAGTGCACTAATTAACTAAATAACCCAAGTGGTAGTCATCAGTCTTCTAAGTCTTCTCAACTAATCTTACACTGAAGACATACATTCTACATTCCTTTGAGAATCATTTGTAGTAACTACAGAAATAAAAATGTAGAGCTGAAAATGTATCAATATAAAAACTATGTATGTATGAATTACAGTCTTGATAGTGCTAATATAGCTCAGGTATGGATAATTCAAAAAAAGTGGGTGGTTATAAAAATGTTTTAAACTTGTCCTTGAATATTCCATTTGATTTGATGGGTAAGCCTCAAGTTCTTCATTGCACACAACAACAAAATAGGAATCCACATTATGCGGAGCTGACTGTGGAAGTTTGAAAATTGCCGTTTAATCACTCTGCTGCCTTCAATTCTTCTGGCTATCAACTCCACAATGGGACTGTGGTGTGCAGTTGAGTCGGTTCCGATTCATAGCCATCCTATAGGACAGAGGAGAACTGTCCCATAGGGTTTCCTAAGCTATAATCTTAGGGGAGCAGATAGTCAGCTCTTTCTCCTATGGTACCGGTGGGTGGGTTCAAACCACCAAACTTATAGTTAGCAGCCCAGCGCTTAACTATTGCGCCACCAGGGCTCCTTGCAGTGGGACGAACTCACTGCCATGGAGTGGATTCTGACTCATAGCGACCCTATAGGACAGAGTAGAACTGCGGTGCAGCTGGTGGATTTGAACTGTCCACTTTTTGGTTAGCAGCCAAGCTCTTAACCACTGAACCACCAGGGCTCCTCCGTGGAACCAGGTACCCTTAACTCTTCGAGTGATTCAAGATTTTTCCTGTCTTAAATTTGAGGAAAAGTGGGGAGCATGTTAAGAGGATCCCAGCATCGAAAACTCGGGCTCGGTGGAACGGTTACCATTTCTTCCCGCCAGCACGTCCCCCAGCTCTTCCTCAGGGCAAAACGACCCCAGGAGAAATTCCATCTGCACAGTCCCCTTCCCCAGAGAGCCCTTCTCCAATACTTGGCTGGCTCCACCCAGCGGAGCTCCAGCGCCCTCCAGACGCTGTACTCCCGCAGGGAACACCTCGGTCCCGCCGCGCCGCGTCACGCCTCTCTTTTTTTCCCGCCCTTATCCCGCGCCTCCCGGAAACGGGCGTGGCCCGAAGGAAGTTCTCGCGTTAGGAAAAGGAGGGCATTTCCGGCTCCGGTGTCATGGCGGACTCCTACTCTGAAGGTGTGCCGGCAGTTCGCAACGGAAAGAGGGAGCAGTTCGGGAGCCGGTTCTTGAGCGACCCGGCGCGCGTCTTCCACCACAATGCCTGGTAACCCCCTGCCCCTCCGCCCGGCTTGCGGCTTACCCTCTGCTCCGCCGCCCGTGAGCGCCCCGAAAAGCTCCTGACCGCCCCTTCCGCCAGCCGGGAGTTCCGCTGCCCTACCCGGGGCGCTCTTTTCCTAGAGATGAGGCGTACCCGCGCCAGCGACTCACCCTGCCTGCATTTGGCACGTGAGGCCCCTGAGCTGCCCGTTTGGTTTTCCCAGGGACAATGTGGAGTGGTCAGAAGAGCAGGCCGCGGCAGCGGAGAAGAAAGTCCGGGAGAACAGTGCTGCCCCGCGAGTGCCCCAGGAGAAGCAAGGTGCGCCTGAAGGGGCCCTCGATGGCATCTACAGTTACGGAACTCGGGAGCAAAGTGAGACGGGGAGGGGATGGGGAAGGAAGGAAAAGAGCTGCGCCTTAGCAAAATCTTGTTAGGGAATAGAGAAAATGGTTGTTTTTATTTGGGAGAGGATAGCTGTGTCTTCATTTTATTTTCCAGTGATTGAATTTTTAGTTACGTTGACTGTTATTTGGTGCCATAGACTGGATTTCTACTCCTAGCGACCCCATGTGAGAGAATAGAACTGCCCCATAGGGTTTCCTAGGCTGTAATCTTGATGGAAACAGATCGCCCTTTCGGACTGAGCGCTTGACCATTGGGACACTAGGGTGTTGACTAGACCCAAATTAATGTGGCTGGTCATGTCACCTTTGTAGTCACCTGGTCATTTTAGAGGAGGGTGTGCTTTCTGCATGATACACTGCCTGAGGTGTTGCCACTGAAGCTAGATTCAAATGATCAGGTTCTGAATATTGGTTGGGGAGGAGATTAACATCTGGTGAGTTGTGTGGCTTTTCCTTGTGTAATGTGCATGAGGATTTAGAGTTTCTTCCCAGAAAAGGTGGAGGGAGCAGGCCTCTTCTGGAGGAGTGTATGATTTTGCTGTGAAATGTCCCCAAGGCCAAAATTAGGACTGGTTGGTTCAGTATTCTAAGAGGCAATTGACAGCTGGGCTAAAGATTGAAGAATAGTATCCCCTGAAAGAGTTCTGTACAACAATTAGAAATTTCCAGTTACAAAGTATTCTTTTCTGTATAGCTTGAAAGACTAAATCAAAGCAAGTTAGAGTTTGAAGGGATTTTGAAAGTCATGTAGTCCAATATCCTCTTTTTCAGTTAAAGAAATTTGGACCACAGGACATTAAGTGCCTTGCCCAGAGGTAAGCAGTTAGTAGTAGCAGTGGTAGAACTAAAATCCCAATTTCTTAGGTTTTTATTCTTTCTACTACACTACTCAATGCTCTGTATGGCAAAGCGTAGAAAACAAAATCTAAGACTGCCCTGATCACCTTAAACGGCTTCCTTTTAAACAGTACATCAGTCCGTACTGTAGTCTCTCCTGTCCTCTGACTCATCAAAACTCTTCTCATCTGAAGACATTTTTCTCTCTTCTGAGCATTTTCTATTTTTCTCTCAGCCTTTTTCCTTCTTAGCATCTATTACCAAAAAGAAAAAAAAAACCATTGCTGTCGAGTCAATTCTGACTCATAGGGTTTCCAAGGAGTGGCTGGTGGATTTGAATAGTTGACGTTTTTTGGTTAGCAGCTAAGCTCTTAACCACTGTGCCACCAGGGTTCCATTAGCACCTGTTATTAGTACTGAATTCATTTCTGGACTCCAGGCTCTAAAAAAGCACAGACAGAGGGATACATTTAAAGAGGAGTTGCCCCAGTGGTAGTCATTGAGGGACATTTAGCTTGTAAAAGAGAAGATTTAGAGGGGAGATAATTTGCCCTTGAATACAAAAGAATTGTTCTCTATGGCTCTGAGAAATAGTGAACTTTTGACTAGAAGTGATAAGACTGATTTTTACTTAATGTTGGAATTTTCCGATAGTTAAGAGCCATCCAAAGATGTGAGGGGAGCATTAATAGGTAGTGAGTTCTCTGCCTGGATGGTTCAAGCAGAAGTTGGATTCCCTGGGAAGGGCAATATAAAAAGAACTTAAGTATGACAATAGATGCCTGCTGCTCATTTTCATTGAGTCGATTACAACTCCTAGCAACCCTGTACAACAGAGTAGAACTGCCCCATAGGGTTTCCAAGGAGCGGCTGGTGGATTTGAACTGCCAACCTTTTGGTTAGCAGCCGAACAACTAAATGACCCTCAGAAGTGCCTCTAGCCCTGAGATTCTATGGCTCCACTTGAGGATACTTTTAGTATAAAATGATATTTGGTGAAGCAGGATGATAATTGATACTTGATACACATAAAATAGTTGAAATATGGTTCTTAAAATTTTTTTTATAGTTGATTATGAGATCAATGCCCACAAATACTGGAATGACTTCTACAAAATCCATGAAAATGGGTTTTTCAAGGATAGACACTGGCTTTTTACTGAATTCCCAGAGCTGGCACCTAGCCAAAACCAAAATCACTTGAAGGGTTTGCTGTCAGAGGACAAGAGGAGTGAAATACCTGCGTGTAGAAGCAGTGAGGATGGACCTGGTTTAACAGCAGAAGAACAGCACAAGTGTTCTTCGAGCAGCCTTAGAGATAAAACACAGGTGTCTTCTGTGGAGAAGAACGTAACTCAGGAGCTCAGTCACCTGAGAATTTGTGCTGATGAGTTTCCTGGATCCTCAGCAACCTACCGAATACTTGAGGTAACCTCTTCTTATTGCCTTGGTAGTGGAGTGTGTAAAGCTGTCATACTGTGCACAAGCAGTGGCCCCTAGAGAGGCCGGCCACAAAAAGTGACTTCTGTCTGATGAAGCTGACTAGACTTGACCCTTGAGTTAGCCTGAATCACTACCATTTTTGAACTCATGAAATGCCCTAAATGCAGGCCAGATGCAGGTGGTCATGGCAGACAAAAGTAGACCACCTGGGACCACCCATTTTGCATCAGAAAATTGTAGTAACGTGCTGTCTCTGCCACGTGCCACTGTCTCATACAGAGAAAAGCTCAAGAGTGTGGTATGGAAAAGTTCTCAGGCCACAAGACATTTTCTGTACTTCTCTTCAATACAAGTATAAGAGCAGGGAAGGTAATCGGGGTGGTGTCTGCTTCTCAGGCCTGGGAGAATTCTTGTTTGCCAAGTTTGGATGGTGTTGGAGGGGCAAGCCTAGACCCAGAAAAGTGTCTAGGTGGGTACTGTAACGTAAATTCACAAATGCTGGCTACACACACCAATGAAAGCAGATTTTGGAGCTGGTTAGCCTTGGGACTGAGTCCTGTCGCATGACTTTGGATGAATCCCTTAACCTCCCTGAGCAGAATGGGACTGCCACCTCTGTCTCATAGGTGTTAGAATTAATTGAGGTAATGTATGTAAAATGGCTAAGAACAGTGCCTGGCACATAGTACACCCTTAGTAAATTGTCAGGTGTTTTTATTATTACTGCACACAGCACTGTAATTAGGATGGGGCTACTATGACCCTCTTTTCATGAATATTTTCAGCCCAATCTGTTAGAAACATTTTCCCACTAATGATACAGTGGAGCTCAGTAAGAAAATATTTCATCTATAGGACCATTTGCTAAAACTCAAAAGGCAAAAGCAACCCATTCCCTTTTTTCTAGACCAGCTCCCTTCTATTAATGAAAGCCCATGCTCTTGTCTTTTTTGGCTATGTCTGGTTCCTGAGGTCAGGGTTAGGGAATGTAATGGGTCCTGGTCACTTAACACCTTCCCTAAAACGTTTTTATTTATCTCGCTTCAGGGGATTAATGCTCTGGAAAGTTCTGTGAATAATAGTAAATTTCTATCTGCAGGTTGGATGTGGTGTAGGAAACACGGTCTTTCCAATTTTACAAACTAACAAGTAAGTATGTTGTAAGGTTTAACTACATGACAGCAAAGAGCAGAGAAGTAGGTTTTTCTTCTCAAAATTCTTACTGCATCAAGCTGTTAACAGTACTGTAGTTATTGGGTTTACAGGGAATTTAGATTTCTACATTATGCGTTTATGGATTGTTTTAGTTTAATTTGATATGTATGTTAGCTTTGTCATCAGGAAAATTAGTAAAATTTAAACCTGTTACAGTGTTAATGTTTAATATATCACCTTTCTGTAGGTACTTAAAACACATTTGGTTTTTCCACTCCCGTGATCTCTTTGAGGGACAGTCGATGGCTAGGCTGTCATTAGCTCATATTATAATTGAGGAAGTTGACATACATGAAGATTGTCTCCTATTTTCAGACCACTCATAGAAATGACATTCCAGTTCCAAGTTCTCCGTTGGAACCTACTGTTTCTCAAAGGTTCTATATAAATAATTTAGCCAGGTTAGCCCGTAATGCTTTCCTGGATTTAGTAAGACTTAGCTTCGTAAATATATGTGTAAAATGGAAATACTATCTCTGCCACAGCCTGTTAAGACTTTTAATGAAATCATTGTGCTCAGGGTCTGGCTGAAACCCACTTGTTCATGTCATTCACTTGCTGAGAGTCAACAGAGGCTTTTACTACCTGTGAATCAGATTTCAATTGTTCAGTATGGTTTTACCTATACAAGCTTATGCCTGTGTTTTTAACACTTGTTTTGTATTTTATTCCTTTCAACCAAATGCGTTCATTCATCCTTCAGTTGAATCTGAAGTATGTCCTGTTTCTTATCCCTTGCATTATTTGTTTTTATGTATAACATCTTTATTGAGATACAATTTAAAGTGTACAATTCATTGTCTTTCGGTATATGCGCAGAATTGTGCAAACATCACCACAGTCAATTTTAGAATATTTCATCGGTCCAAAAAGAAACTCCATACTCATTAGCACTTACTCCCCTTACTTGCCCCTCTGCCCCCCAGCTCTAGGCAACCATTAATTTACTTTCTGTCCATAGATTTTTCTCAGGCTAAGGTTTTTTGTTTTTTAATTGTATGAAATAAAATAGAGGAAACCAATTCTTTTGAAATTCTATCCAGAGATCCCCGTTAAGGACCCTTGATTTATATAATTCATTTTATGGGGTTTTTTCCTCATAATTCTTACCATTGTTTTATAATTTCTCAAAAGTAATATATGTCCTCAATAGCAAAAAGATGGAAACAACCTAGATACCCATCAACAGATGAATGGATAAACAAACTATGGTACATACACCCGATGGAGTACTACACAACAAAAAAGAACAATGATGAATCTACAAAGCATCTCCCTCCCCACATGGATGAATCTGGAGGACATTATGCTGAGTGAAATAAGTCAAGCACAAAAGGACAAATATTGTATGAGACCACTACTATAAAAACTCATGAAAAGGTTTACACACAAAAAGAAACACTCTTGGATGGTTACAAGGAAGGGGAGGGGTAGGCGTGGAAAAACACTAACTAGACGATAGATAAGTGGTAACTTTGATGAAGGGTAAGACCATACACAACACTGGGGAAGCCAGCACAGCTTGTTCAGGGTAAGGTCATGGAAGCTCCATGGACAAATCCAGACTCCCCGAGGTTCCAAATTACTGGGCTGAGGGCTGTGGGGACCGTGGTCTCAGGGAACACCTAGCTCAGTTGGCATAACATAGTTTATAAAGAAAATGTTCTGCATTCTACCTTGGTGAGTAGCGTCTGGGGTCTTAAAAGCCTCTGAGCTGCCATCAAAGATCTCCACTGGTCTCACCCCTTCAGGAGCAAAGGAAAATGAAGAAAACTAAAGACACAAGGGAAAGATTAGTCCAAAGAACTAATAGACCACAACTACCACAGTCTTCACCAAACTAAGTCCAGTACAACTAGATGGTGCCCAGCTACCATCACTGGTCTGACAGGGATCACAATAGAGCATCCCACACAGAGCTGGAGAAAAATGTAGAACAAAAGACTTAAACTGGTATGACAGAGATTGGAGAAACCCCAAGAGTATGGCCCCCAGACACCCTTTTAGCTCCATAGTGAAGTCACTCTGGAAGTTCACCTTTTATCCAAAGATTAGACATGCCCATAGGACAAAACGAGACTAAAGGGACACACCAGCCCAGGGGCAAGGACTAGAAGGCAGGAGGGGACCGGAAAGCTGATAATAGGGAACCCAAAGTTGAGAAGGGAAAGTACTGACATGGGGTTGTTAACCAATGTCATAGAACAGTATATGTACTATTTAATGAGAAGCTAGTTCTGTAAACCTTCATCTAAAGTACAATGAAAGAAAACAATGATTTTAAAAAGTAATAAATTTCCAGAGTAAAAAACTTGGAAAATCTAAAAAAGCACAAAGAATAAAACATTACTAGTCATCCCACCATCCACAGATAACCACTGTTAAACTGACATTTTATATATATCCTTTAGTGTTTCCTCTGTGTGTAGATACTTCATTGTGGTATTCATGACCTTTTTGTGCCTAGTCTCTTTTGATTGTAACCTTTTGGACGGCAGAAGCTAGGTCTGCTAGAACTTTGTGCGTGATCATACTGGGTATTCAGCAGATAGAGCTGCCCAGCTGATTAAAAAAACAGAACAGGCATGACCCCTGCTCTTTAAACTTGGCAAAGGAACTTACCGCAGTGATAGAAATCTTCTATACCTTCGCTGTCCCTTACAGTGGTTACTAGCCATACATGGCTATTAAGCATTTGAAATGTGTCTAATGGGACTGAGGAACTGAATTTTTTATTTTAATTAGCCATATGTGGTCAGTGACTACCATCTTGGACAGTGCAGCTTCCCAGGCTCCTAGTCTGGATTGTACTTCCCAGAAGTTGTCTGCCCCAAATGTCAGCAGTTTAGAGGGAGGCTTGGCCTGGGCCTTTGAGAGGTTAAGGTGTCACGTGCTCCCTAAAAATAAAGGATGAGCACAGCAGTACGGCACAGGTCTGGGCTGTTGTTTCTCAAAACACAAGCACACAGCCTTTTACCCTATTCTTCCTCCAGAAAAAGAACTCTGGAGTTACAGATTGCTTTGTATTTTGACCATGATTTGTAAGATGTCTTCAGTTTAAATAAATAGTGTGCTTCATAATTGAAAGCAATTTTTGGTAGTTATTAGTTTAACCTTGTGTTCCTCCAGTGTGCCACGACTTGTACTAGACATTGGAGAGAGTAAGAAAAACAAGCACAAGGATGTTGTCTTGTTCATCTTTGCCTCCCCAGCATGTAGGATAACACCCAGTACATAGTAGCCCCTGTAGCGGTTTGGTGAACCAATGGCTGAAAGTTGTGATCTCTGCGTTTGTGGCAGCCATGGTGTTGTGGGGGCAGGCAGGTGGGTACAGATGTGTTCCTGGCCCTGAGAAAGTGCCAGGATGGCACCAAGAGAAGGTACAAGAATTCTCATGGTACTGTCAGGCAAGACTTGATTGGAGGAAAAGGTTTCTATAAATGGAGAAAGAGAGGAGGTTGTTGTGTTGAAAGCCACTGATTTTTTATAAGACTTCATGTTAGCTATATCCTCAGGGCCTAAAAAGATATAAATCAAAAAGGATTTTAACCAAAATGAAATACGTTGTGACTGATGGGTGCACTTTCTCTGAATGACTCATACTCTTTGTCATTTGATACTTTAAACTTTACTACACAGCCCCTGGAAAAGGACATCATGCTTGGGAAAGTAGAGGGTCAGCGAAAGAGAGGAAGACCCTCAATGAGATGGACTGACACCGTGGCTGCAACAATGGGCTCGAGTATAGCAATGATTGTGAGGATGGTGCAGGACCAGGCAGTGTTTTTCTGTTGTGCATAGGGTCACTTTGAGTTGGAGCCGACTCGTCGGCACCTAACAGCACAGGAAAAGGAGTAGACCTGGTCCAGTTTGTAAGCTAATTGTTCTGTTTTTTCTGCCCATTTCAGTGACCCAGGGCTCTTTGTTTACTGTTGCGATTTTTCTTCGACAGCTGTGGAACTGGTCCAGGTAAGCGCAGTGGCTCCTTGCCAGTAATCTTCACTGGCTGAAGGCGAAAGGGTCTCCTGAGAATCAAGGCCTGTAGCTATGTTCTGATTGTACTGTAGTCTACAAATAAAAGATCAACTGAAGCTGCCTAGAGGAAAGGGCCAGGCATAGATAACTGAATCTGTCACTTGCAGCTGTGGAACTTTGGGCAGATTTCTTAACCTCTCCAAATTGGTGTGTTAAGGATTGAAATGAGATGATTGTTCTGTCAGGGTTCTTTGGTTACAAGTAATAGAAACATCCAGACAAACTTAGCAGTAAGAAGGAATGTCACAAGCCAAGAGCAGAAATGCAGCCAGGCCTGGGGAAGAACCGGAACTTGGCCCTGAGAAATTGTCAGAAACCACAGCAAGCTGGCTGGCTGGCGAGGTGTTCCCTCCCTCTCCTATCACGACAGCTTCCTCAAGTTCATGCTTTCTTATCTTTCATTGCCCAGTGCTCGTTTGCTTTATTCTTTTTTTTTTTTTTTTTTCCCTCTGCAGACCAACTTTCTCTGAGTGTTTCTTGGTTTTGCACGTGACCCCAACATGCCTGCCCCTCCCAGCCTCTCACAGGTCCACCCAGGTCAGGTGTTCACAGAGCCTCACTGGGATGTCCCACTTCCAAAGTCCCTGGAAGCATTGTCTGGTTGACACAGCCCAGCTGATAGATCCACATCCCCTGTTTGAATCAGCTGTGGCCAGTAAGGAACAAAGGCCTGTTTGGAGAAGGCCGTGGAAAGGACGGATACCCAAAGGTGGTCTGTTACAGTAGCAGGGAGCTTGGGAACTGGTCGTCCCATCTCTTTCTGAAACTAACATCCTTTTGAATCTAGTCTAAATGAATATTGAGGCTTCTCTTTACGTAATTTTTTGTTAACAAAATGCAGGTTACATTTTTCACATCTAGAGAAATAGATTTCCCTGGCTGAGAGCTTGTTTTTTTTGTTTGCTTGTTTTTTATCTTTGATTTTTGTTTCCTTTTTCTTTTTTTTATTATAGTACCTTAAGTGAAAGTTTACAATTCAAGTTAGTCTCTCATACAAAAATTTATGCATACGTTGTTATATGACCTTAGTTGCTCTCCCTATACTATGATAGCACACTCCTCCTTTCCACCCCAGATTTCACGTGTCCATTCAACCAGCTCCTGACCCTCTCTGCCTTCTCATTGGCTGAGAGCTGTTTTAACTCACACTTTTTAAATACGCTTTGTTTCTCTCCTTGTGAAATCTTTCTGTTCCCTCAGGGTCACTTTGCTTCCTGGTTGTTTTCCAGTCCTCAGATCTGACTCTACACTGTAAGGGAAGTGCGTCAGAATAGAGAGGGAAAGCAGGGGAATCAGGAATGTTTCCTTTTAAAAGTCACCAATGCCCGCTTAGATTCTACAGGATTTTCCCTGGCATTGTTCTTGATCCTCACCATGTGAGTCCCCCCTGAAAAGGCACGTGCTGTAAGGATTCTCTTGGCGATCCCACGCACAACAGAACGAAACACTACTCAGTCCAGAGCAGTGGTGGATCAGACAGTGTTCCATTGTGATGGTGCAGGACCAGGCAGTATTTCGTTCTGTTGTGCTTGAAGCCACCATGAGTCAGGGGTCAGCTCAGTGGCAGCTAACAACAACTACAAAGATTAAAACTATATTGCTCAGTGTTTAATTACATTTCAAATAAGATAAGCTTTTCCCAAGGTCATGTTAACATTCCCTAACCCATTTGTCTCAACTGTCACTGCAGTCACATTCAGAGTATGATCCTTCTCGGTGCCTGGCCTTTGTTCACGATCTGTGTGATGAAGATCAGAGTTACCCAGTGCCCAGGGACAGTCTCGATATCATCATTCTCATATTTGTTCTTTCAGCAATTGTTCCAGACAAGTAAGTTTTAGGTCCCTTAACCAGTAGTGTAACGAAAGAAAAAGCTTTGATCAGGGACTTTGGTATCTGAGTTGGACTCTAAATAAAAAAAAGTTTTATTATGTTCTGATAGACAGGAAGCTACTCCATCCATAGCAGTAAACATGAGTATCTCAGCAATTTTCTTAAGCTTGTCTTTAGGTCCAGCTTCTGCCTTTCCTTGTATTATCATTTACCCTTCCCAAAGAATGTGGAGAGATCTTTAATGGATATGTAGAGAAATTCCCCCTGATAATCTCACAGCGTGTCGTCTCAGAACTATGGGTGCCACAGTTGTTAGATAATACCCCATTGTTGGTATTTTAAATCCTTTAAATAAACCAAGCTTACTAACTATGTACAAAGTTTACATTGAAGCTTAACTAAGGTAATACTTATGCTGAAGTTCCCTGGAAAACACAGTAAGGACAATCCCATAAGACCAGGGTTAAATAAAAATAAAGTCAAATGCTGTCCGCTAAAATGTACTATCAAAACCTCATCCACTTCAGGCAACCAGTAGTCCCATTGAGACTGCTGTCTCAAGGAAGCAGGGTTGGTCACAGAGATGTTGGCTAAGAGATTTGGGCACCATCAGCTGACGCCAGAGAAGCCCTCGTCCCTGCCGGACACCAGTTAGGACAGAGGCCAGGAGCTTGGCACATACCAGTGGTCTGGCAAACCATGCACCCAAAACCATGGGATTAGGATGGAGGATAGATGCTTTAAACGTCTACTGGTTCTGTGAACATTAAAACCAATAAAGAATGATGAAGTAAATTAGTGTTAGAGGTGAAGGTACGCAGGCTGGAGGGTCACGTGACAAGACAACAAGGACCAGCAAGTGAGCAAGGCCCTGGTGTAACTCTGGGTCCAAAGACCCAGTGCTGGCCCCACCTCAAGTGAGTGATTAAACTCCAAAATAGCTTTAAATCATCCATTCTGACAACGATATTATAAGGGTGAAATAAAGACATTTAAATGCTACAAACTTAAAAACCGACATGGACTGAAACAAAGCATTAAAATTTCATTATTCAAAATTTGAATATTAACTTTCAAGTGATGTCTTTGCTAAGTTTGTAGCATTTATACTTCTGAAGTTATTAAAGCTTAAACCTGCACCAAGACTTCTGGGACACTCTGTAAAAAATGCAGTTATAAATAAAAAATACTTTATCCATGGTGCTCATTTGCATACTGATTATATCACCACTTAGAGATTAAGTTCTTGAGGATAAGTCTTCATTTAACAAACTTTATTAAACATGCTGTGAGCTAGAGACATAAAGGTGGAAGATACGGTCTCTGCCTTCAAGGAGCTCCCTCCTGGTGGGACGGCAGGTGAGCCAACAGCAGTCCTCAGGCGGGGTGGTCGGGGCTCTGCTCCAAGCCAAGTGAACGTAGAGCAGGGATGACTTGCTCACAGAGGCAACCCCAGGAGGAGTGGGAAGTAAGCCAGGGGAGACCATGCGACTGTTTCCCTCAGCCAAGGCACGTTGTCCTCGTCAGCAAGCAGCAGGAGACATCGGAGGTTTGGACGTGTACTTGGTTCTCATTGAAATGAGGGCAGAGGAGCGAAAGTTTCAGAGGTTGGTGTCAGGGTTATTTGGGACATGCTACACAGACAAGGAACCCTGTCCCTAAGGAGATTTGATCTACGTTCCCTCTGCCCCAGGATGCAGAAGGCTATCAACAGGCTGAGCAAGCTTCTGAGGCCCGGAGGGATGATGCTCCTGCGAGATTACGGCCGCTATGACATGGCGCAACTTCGGTTTAAAAAAGGTATTTTGGAACAGACTAGAAACTTTCGAGTTAGATCTCCATATATAAAAGAATTTAATATATGACAAGAGTGGTATATTCTTGCAGACAATAGATTGTTGTTATTGGGGAGGTCTTTTTAACCAAGACAGCTACAAAACCCAAGAGCTATTTTTAAAAGAAGACATTGGGTTACATAACTAGTTTTACATGCAATATGCAAAAGATACCATTAGAAGACACTGGAAAGATTAGGTGTAGGAATCAGGGGACAGTGAGTTTGTTAATGGGGGAGAATGGTTGCACAGCTAGAAAAATGTATTCAATGTCAATGAATTGTACATGTGGAAATTGTTGAATTGTTTGTTCTGCTGTGTATATTCTCAACAACGAAAAATAAAATTTAAAAACAAATTTTTAAGTTGAAAGACATGATAGATTGAGAAAAAATATTTTTAGTGCATATAACAGATAAAGTATTAATTAATATCAGTGCTGTTCAAGGAGCTGTCAGCAAATTTATAAGGAAAAGGTCAATGACACAACCAAAAAACAAAGAATATTTAGAGTCAGTTCACAGAAGAGCATATCCAAATGGCCAGTAAACATAGCATGGTTCAGATAGGCTCAACGTCATTGATGTCACTAAATTGTACACTTGAAAAATGTTAAATTGGCAAATGTTGTATTATGTATTTTTATAACAATTTTTTTTTAGAAAGCTGCTCACCCTCAAGGGTAGTCAAGGAAACAAAAGTAACAGTGAGATAGCATTTCTTAAACTTGTTGCTGGCCAAGTCAGAGAAGGAGGTACACTCTCCCATTGCTGGTAGAAATATGAGTTGTTATGGTCTTTTTTTTTCTTTTAATCACCCTGGCACTGTCTATTCAATCCAACAGTCCTTCTTATGGGAATTATTCTATAGAAATAAAAGAACCTGTACATAGTTTGTATACAAGCAAAGACCTGGGAACAAAGTGAATCCCTCTGGATAGGGGAAGTCATGCGTGTCCCACAAGGTCCACCAGTGCCCCTGAACCTGGAGGGATTTCCATTCTGTATTGCTAGGCAAGAAAAGCAATGGGCAGATGAGTGTTTTAAACAGTTACTGGAAAGAAAAAGGAATAAAATATACACACACACACCTGCAAAAGCCAGAACCTGTGTGAGGTGGAAACCTCTCGGAGGAGGAAAATGCAAATATTGTCCACTAATAGAGCAATAGAAAAGTGGTAAGACTGCACTCTGTCAAAGGTGGAAAACTTGCGAGACCCAGAAAAATAAGGCAGTCCGGTAAGGTTGCGACTCTCACAGGTTTCACTGGGTGTGTGTGTGTGCACACGCGGGTATATTCACATTCGGAAAGGCATAGAAGGTCGGTGTGCCAGGTTGTTCCATTGAGGTGATGTCGGGGATCAGCAGCAGAAGGGAGAGGGTGTCCCTGATGAGAGCAGTGTGTGTAGACATGTCAAAAGACATGAGAAAGGACTGTCGCCATAACGGTGATGGTGGCTCTGTCAAGTTTCCTTAAACTTAACTGTCTTGCTTGATTTTTTTTTTTTAAATTGGGAAAAAAGACAAACTATTTTCATTGTGAAAAGAATAATAGAACAGTACTGAAAATCACGTGTGTTATCTAACACTGAAGTTTGATTATTCCCCTTGGACTGTTCTCCAAAGCTCCATTCCTTTGTAAGAGACACGTTGAAGCTTCCTGCAAAGTACCAAGTGTAACTAAGAGAGGATTTTGTCCTCCGCCCCAGAAGTTCATGTCTTGATGCACACTTGATTGGTGCTGAAATTCAAAGAAATGCTTTAAGTTTTTCTGAATTTGACCACATTACTCTGTAGGTCAGTGTCTGTCTGAAAATTTCTATGTGAGAGGTGATGGCACCAGAGTTTACTTCTTCACACAAGGTATGGAGACTCTCATCTTTATTTACGCTAAAGGTCCCCAGAATACCAAATTAGGTGGTCCGCAGCGCACTTTCGGAAATAAAGTCATCTGGCCTCTCCCACCTTTCTTCTGTGATTAAATATCCATCATCCCCTGAAGCCAACTTTAACTCTTCATTGTTCCTAATGTAGGCTTGGCCTATGTGTGCCCTCAGTCCTTTGCCTTTGCTTCCCCCTCTCCCACCTTGTCCGACTGGGAAACCTACCAGTTTTGCAAAACTCATCTCCAGTCCCCAGCCTATTTCACCTAAGCTGCTTTGTGCCATAAGGTATACCTGGGCTAAGGTGAACTTATTTCTCAGTAGGCTCCAGGTATAACCCAGACTGCTGTCTCTGTTACCCCTGCTCCGAGGTGGGCTCCCTGCCTACAGCTTTCCTCCTCCACCAGCCCTTAGGGATTCTCCATCCCTGGGCCCCTCAGGCCCTTACCCCTGTTAGATCACGTACTTATTTCAGCCCTTGGTTAAAGCTGTAGAGCCTCTCCCCTAGAAAAGCTGCTCGACATACATGCATGCTGGTTTTTGCGTATAATTTTAAGGTGTCCATCAATCCATAGAACCCTGAAACCCAAACCTAAACCAGAAGGTTCAAAGCCCCTGGGCCTAGAGCCCATCAGTCCCTCCCACCACTGTTAGAGAAGATCTCCTTGGGGTGCCAGGCTGCCTTTTGCCAGGCTTGGCTTCCCCTATTTACCCATGAATTTGCTGTTACCAAACCACTACATTTGTAACAAAACAGCTCTGCTAAAGCCGCTTAAAATATATAAATAGCAGCAATCTCACGGGAGCCCAATTTAATGAGGGAAGTGGTAGACAAAATGCTTTTTCTTTAGAGGAAAATATAAACATCTCTTTCCAAACTAGATGAACTGGACACACTTTTCACTGCTGCTGGGCTGGAGAAAGTTCAGAACCTGGTGGACCATCGGCTGCAAGTCAACCGGGGGAAGCAGCTGACAATGTACCGAGTTTGGATTCAGTGCAAGTACCGCAAGCCTCTGTTGTCCAACACTGGCTGAGGCGCCTGCTCCTGACACGACCAGAGCTCGCTGTGCGCCTGGCCTTGAAAGAACATCCATGAATCGTGCTTTGTTGGTGTTGGACAGCTGAAGGATTCAAACAGACTCAAGCCTTGAACCTAGGGAAAATTACTTTTTATCAAGATTCTAGCAATTTAACTGTGCTTTTTATTTGTGAAGCCCTTTAATACATACTTTTCTCAAAGAATTTGTCGTACTATTCTGTAGCTAATAACTGAAATTTTATTCATGGGAATTTTAAATTTAAAAAGCATCAAGATTCATTTCTATGTGGAAGTATTATATATGATAAAGTGTTATTTGATGGTATATGGCATTAAATTATTTGGGAATTCAGATACCTGGATTAGGCAGTTGCAGTTGGTAAATATATAGATGAATAAAAGTTTTATTAAGTGGTGGGGGAAGCAAGTTGAGAAGAATCATATTTGTCTTTGGATGTTTTCCTGACTCAACAATATCCCTTTAAAGAGCTTCAAAATGAGGTGTTCTTGTTTAGTATGTGGTCGTGGTCTCTGCTTAATCTTAATACCGTAGAGTTTTTAAGCATTGTTCCACTTATAAGTAACTGTGTTGAAGAATTGAAAGGTTCTTCTGTACTATTTTTAAAAGTTCTCATTTTCTCATTGTGACCTTAAGTATTTGACACAAAAAGAATTGAGACAACTTCTTAATTTTAGCTACATTGCTTCACTTCTGAATGGGATTGTCATCAGTGTTAGAGACTTTTACGTTCTGCTTTTCTCAGTTATCACTTTTACTTGTTTCGCTGTTGATGCAGTCTTAATTTTACCAAATAAGAAGTTTTTAATTCTACATTCCTGAATTTTGGATTTTCACCTCAAATGTTAATTATTTGCTTTATTGTGAAATGCACCAAGACAGAAGCAGTTTTTCTCTTTAATAACCTAAATTTCAGAAAATGGGAATATTTCCCACAAGGAAAAGAAAAAAAACCTTGAGCCTCAAAATAATGCCTGGCTTCTCCTCTTCCTCCTCCGTAGATATACAGTCATCCCTTGGTTTCCATGGCGGGTAGGTTCCAGGACCCTCTGCGGATACCAAAATCCTGGGATGCTCAAGTCCCACATATAAAATGACACATATGCGTATGACCTACACACATTGTCCTCTATACTTCAGATCGTCTCTAGATTACTTACAATACCTAATACAGTGCAAATGCTATGTGAATAGTTGTTAATGCTGACACTGAACACTTCATGCGTTCTCAGCCTTTGCAAGCACTTTTATCAAGAACCAGAGAGACCATTTTTACCATTGTAGGGGCAGCACTAACACTTCCATGAATGTCGGTTCTTTCTGCTTTATTATGCAAATGCTTGAGTTATTCTTACCGACCTTAAGGCCCACTTCGGCAAGTGATATGCCACTTTTCAAAAGATACGAGATTTTTATTTTCTTGTCGAGAGATAGCATTTGACGCTCCCTCTTAGCCTTTGAGGGATTCCTTTAACCACTTCATTGCTTTTTAGGAGCCATTTTTTCACAGAAACAAAGGGTGCCTACAAAACAAGTAGCAAATGAACAAGACACAAGTTGAACAATGCTCCACAGCTGGAGAGAGACTAAGAATCTGTGAAATCGTGGGAGGCTACAGCAGGATCTGCCTACACACCACTTCATTCACTTGGGTTCAGTGGAGTTCTAGGCGTGTGGCAAATTCAAGTTTTGCTTTTTGGAACTTTTTTACCCCTCAAATATTTTCCATCTGCAGTTGGTTGAATCTGTGGATGCAGAAACCGAGGATACAAAGGGCCAACTAGATGTCTCTATAAATATAGGTATATATCCATATAGATAGAAGGTCCTATGTGGCGCACCCACCACTCCTCTATCAGTACTATGGTGGCTTGCGTGTTGCTGTGACGCTGGAAGCTATGCCACTGATATTTCAAATACCAGCAGAGTCACCCATGGTGGACAGGTTTCAGTGGAGCTTCCAGATTGAGAAAAAGGACCTGGCAATCTACTTCTGAAAAAATTGGCTGTGCTGTTGCGCGCTGTCAAGTCAGTTCCTACCCATAGCAACCCTACATGACAAAGTAGAACTGACCCATATGGATTGACACAGTGGCTGCAACAGTGGGCTCAAACACAGCAAGCATTGTGAGGATGGTGCAGGACTGGGCATTGTGTCATTCTGTTGTATGTGGGATGCTATGAGTCAGAACCGACTCGATGGCACCTCACGACAGCAACGATCTTCATGAGAGCAGATCGCCACATCTTTTTTCCCACTGAGTGGCTAGTGGGTTCAAACAGCTAACCTTTTGATTAGCAGCCAAGCATTTAACCACTTGTGCTATCAGGGCTCCTAAATATAGCATATATCTATAGGTATGTATAGATATATACCTCTATACAGAGAGAAGGAACCCTGATAACAACGGTTAAGTGATCAGCTGCTAACTGAAAGGTTGACAGTTCAAACCCACCAGCCACTTCCTGGGAGGAAGATGTGGCAGTTCTGCCCTGTCGTACAGGGTCACTATGAGTCAGAATTGACTTGATGGCAACAGGTTTGGATTTTTATTTGTATGTTGTTGTTAGGTGCCATTGAGTCAGTTCCAACTCATAGTGACCCTATGTACAACAGAACGAAACCCTGCCCGGTCCTGTGCCATCCTCATGATCGTTGTTGTGCTTGAGCCCATTGTTGCAGCCACTCTGTCAATCCATCTCATTGAGGGGTCTTCCTCTTTTTCAGTGACTCTCCACTTTACCAAGCATGATGTCCTTCCCCAAGGACTGATCCCTCCTAATAACATCGGACGTCCAAAGTATGTGTGATGAAGTTTTGTCATCCTTGCTTCTAAGGGGCATTCTGGTTGTACTTCTTCCAAGACAGATTTGTTTGTTCTTTTGGCAGTTTATGGTATATTCAGTATTCTACACCAACACCATAATTCAAAGGTGTCAATTCTTTGGTCTTCCTTATTCATTGTCAGCTTTCCCATGCGTATGATGAAATTAAAAATGCCATGGCTGGGTTAGGAGCACCTTAGTCCTCAAAATGATATCTTTGCTTTTTAACACTTTAAAGAGGTCTTTTGCAGCAGATTTGCCCGATGCAATACGTCGTTAGATTCCTTGACTGCTGCTTCCATGAGTGTTGATTGTGGATCCAAGTAAAATGAAATCTTGACAACTTCAGTCTTTTCTCTGTTTATCATGATGTTGCTTATTGGTCCAGTTGTGAGGATTTTCGTTTCTTTATGTTGAGGTGTAATCCATTCTGAAGGCCGTAGTCTTTTCATCTTCATCAATAAGTGCTTCAAGTCCTCTTCACTTTCAGCAACCGAGGTTCTGTTACCTGCATAATGAATGAATGTTAATGAGTCTTCCTCCAATCCTGATGCCTCGTTCTTCTTCACATAGTCCAGTTTCTCAGATTATTTGCTCAGGATACAGAAGAAGATTTGTTCTTTTGTCAGTCCGTGGTATATTCAGTGTTCTTCACCAACACCACAACTCAAAGGCTGCAATTCTTAGGTCTTCCTTATTCATTGTCTAGCTTTTGCATGCATATGAGGCAATTGGAAACACCATGGCTTGGGTCAGGATCAGTAGTCGGAAAATGTGGCCTTGGTGATGGAAACAATGCCAGAGATTTCATGATAGGATTTTGTAAGACCAACGACTTCATTGCAAATACCTTTTTTGAACAATATAAACGACAGCTATACACGTGGACCTCACCAGATGGAATATACAGGAATCAAATGGACTACATCTATGGAAAGAGATGATGGAAAAGCTCATTATCATCAGTCAGAAAAAAGCCAGGGGCCGACTTTGGAACACACCATCAATTGCTTGTATGCAAGTTCAAGTTGAAGCCGAAGAAACTTAGAACAAGTCCACCAGAGCCAAAGTACTATCTTGAGTATATCCACCTGAATTTAGAGACCATCTCAAGAATAGATTTGACATGTTGAACACTAATGACCAAAGACCAGATGAGTTGTAGAATAGCATCAAGGACATTATACATGAAGAAATCAAGAGGTCGTTAAAAAGACAGGAAGGAAAGAAAAGACCAAAATGGATGTCAGAAGAGACTCTGAAACTTGCTGTTGAATGTGGAATAGCTAAAGCGAAAAGAAGACATGATGAAGTAAAAGAATTGAACAGAAGATTTCAAAGGGTGGCTCAAGAAGACAGTATTATAATGACGTGCAGAGATTTGGAGTTAGAAAACCAAAAGGGAAGAACATGCTTGGCATTTCTCAAGCTGAAAGAACTGAAGAAAGAATTCAAGCCTGGAGTTGCAATATTGAAGGATTCTACAGGGAAAATATTAAACAATGCAGGAAGCATCAAAAGAAGATGGAGGTAATACACAGAGTCACTATACCAGAAAGAATTGGTTGACGTTCAACCATTTCAGGAGGTGACATATTATCAGGAAACAATGGTACTGAAGGAAGAAATCCAAACTGCAATGAAGGCATTGGTGGCATATTGACTAATATCAATTGAGATGTTTCAACAAACAGATGCAGCGCTGGAAGTGCTCGCTCGTCTAAGCCAAGAAATTTGGAAGACAGCTATCTGGCCAACCGACTGGAAAAGGTCCATATTTATGCCTATTCCAAAGAAAGGATCCAACCAAATGCAGAAATTATCAAACAACATCATTAATATCACATGCAAGTAAAATTTTGCTGAAGATCATTCAAAAGTGGCTGCAGCGGTACATCAACAGGGAACTGACAGAAATTCAAACCAGCTTCAGAAGAGGACGTGGAACCAGGGATATCATTGCTGATGTCAGATGGATCCTGGCTGAAAGCAGAGAATACCAGAAAGATGTCTACCTGTGTTTTATTGACTATGCAAGGGCATTCGACTGTGTGGGTCATAACAAATTATGGATAACATTGCGAAAAATGGAAATTCTGGAACACTTAGTTGTGCTCATGAGGAACGTGTACATAGATCAAGAGGCAGTCATTCAAATAGAACGAGGAGATATGGCATGGTTTAAAGTCAGGAAAGATGTGTGTCAGGTTTGTATCCTTTCACCACACTTATTCAATCTGTATGCTGAGCAAATAATCTGAGAATTTGGACTGTATGAAGAAGAACAAGGCATCAGGATTGAAGGAAGATTCATTAACTACCTATTATGCAGATGACACAACCTTGCTTGCTGAAAGTGAAGAGGACTTGAAGCACTTACTGATGAAGATCAAAGACTATAGCCTTCAGTATGGATTACACCTCAACATAAAGAAAACAAAAATCCCCACAACTGGACCAATAAGCAACATCATGATAAACAGAAGATTGAAGTTGTCAAGGATTTCATTTTACTTGGATTCACAATCAACACCCATGGAAGCAGTAGTCAAGAAATCAAACGACATATTGCATTGGGCAAATCTGCTGCAAAAGACCTCTTTAGAGTGTTAAAAATCAAAGATGTCACCTTGAAGACTAAGGTGTGCCTGACCCAAGCCATGATGTTTTCAATTACTTGCCTCACATGCATGCGAAAGCTG